TGGGTCAGGTGTGAGTTAGCACTAAACTAGCATAGTGGTTAATAAGGACTGTGGTTACAGGTGGAGAAGCGTGGTTTGCCATGGAGGGTTTGGGGAGGTAAGACGTGGCATGGGGAGTGAATGGGCGTGAGGAGAAGGGTTAGAAGGTTTTTCATGGTTTCTGTTTCCTTGATTCTTTAACAGCTGTGACAAAGTCCAAGATCTCTGAGGTGGGCTCCCTGATCTGAGCTTCTCTGGTTCCAACTTTTGATCAGAGTCTGTAATGTATGATGTCAAGGTTATGGTTATATCGAGCGTACCTCAACTGCATGTTCATCAAACCCCCAAATCTCCCCCTCCCCTCCCCTCCCCTCCCCTCCCCATCCACTGGTACATTGTAAGGTGCCAACATTAGTAAATAACATGATTTTTTAACATTATTTACTGAAAACATTTAACTACAAATATTCCAATTTAGCTAAAATATTTGCATTTCCAACTCCAACATCCGTCTTCCATATTTGTTGTTCATAGATTCAACCTTGTGGCATCCTCACAGTTCTCCCTGATCTGATCATTTGAAATGACATGGGGACAATAATCTGACTTCAAACTGTGCTTTTAGCAGCTGGAATGAAAAAGTAGGATCGATACTATCATCCTAGAGCTTTTGGTACTAAAAGAACTGGTTGGCACTGGGGTGCTGTGTCAATATTAAGACCATTGGGTTCTCATTAAGTCAGGAGCCACTTCCTCATGATTGACATTGATTTGTCTCGGTTTGCAGTGGATTTTTCACAATATCTTCAGTAGATAAGTTTATTTGACAATGAAACAGTGATGTTGCACCATTGAATGATAGGTATGACCATCCCAGTTCACTGACAGAATAATGACTTGGGCTTCTTGTGCTAGGTTCTACCTTGAGTCACTTGTGTCATATTCTCAAGGTTAGGACAAAGAGGGGAGTGAATTATTAGGAAGACGACAGAATTTTGAGACTCATCTTCATAAGACTCACACTTGGACTACAAGTTATTGATAAATAATTCTGCTGCAGTGAAAGCTAGAAAATATTGTCTTATCTTGCCTCTGCACCGAAATGTCAGCTCTTCAAAATAATGCTTCCTGCCTTTTTCTTGGACTTTGGCAGCTTTTGGGAAGAGTGGACATCTTTTTGAGATTGTCCTTTTTAACCTACACCAGACAGCCTGTCAGTCAAAGTAGTCCAGCAAATAGATTTTATTTTTATGATCTAAGCCTATTTTTTTCATGTTTAAGGAGTGGAGGTTTAAAAATACTTCCTACTATGACACTTAAGCAGACCTGTTCCACTCATTAACGAGTATTTATGTCTACTGCATCAATTTGTGACTCCCATACTATAGGTTAAGGCCCTTAGAACAGTTAAGATAGAGTCTATTTGAATTTGGTGCTTTAAGTTCAAATGGCTCTGCCGAGTTCAGATTTTCCTCCCATGTGACCCATGCCCCAGTACCTGCTGATAATAATTGGATTAGTTGGAAATGGGTTGGGGTGCAGGACAGATACTTGTGTGTTGGAGTCCCACCAAACGTTTCTCTAAAGGGCCATAGAAATTCCCTGACTCAGTGAAAATCCAGCTGCCAGTCTTAGATACTGGGGCCTGATTGTTTTGGTATCCTTGAAGCAAACAATCTTTTAAGTAACCTTTTCCAAGTTGGGATGATTGTCATAGCTCATCTGGCATACAGTCTTTTAGGTACAAAAGGTGGTGCAGGATGCTCCGTTAATAATCTGTTGATGTAGGAGCACACAGCATTTTTTTTTTAACTCTAGAGGCTTTTCCCTACTGTTGGGAAAATTCCATAGAGCCCAAAGCTTTTCTTCAAAGACTGGATCCTGTCTTTTCACAAAAGCCAGTTAGCAGAGTTGCGCAAAGTGTGGTCCACAACAAGATGCGAAGTGCATTGTCAGAGGTAATGTGAATTAGAGACCTGAATTCACTTCTCAGAATTAAAAATTAGGTCAACTTTCATGGATACTTGCATCTTGCGACATGTGTTGCCCAAAGTCCAGGTCTGCGCAAACGGCAGCATTGATGGCAAGTACAGCATGGAAACAGACCCTTCAGTTCAACTCGTCCATGCCGACCACGTTTTCCAAACTAAACTAGTCCCACTTGTCTGCATTTGGCCCATATCCCTCTTAAACCTTTCCTATTCATGTACCTACTCAAATGCCTTTTAAATGATGTAACTGTACCTGCATCTACCATTTCCTCTGGCAGTTCATTCCACATACAATCCACCTGCTGTATGAAAAAGTTACCCCTCAGGTCCTTTTTAAATCCTTCTCCTCTCACCCAAAAAAATCTCCCTAGTTTTGAACTCCCCCACCCTAGGGAAAAGACCTTTTGATATTCACCTTATCTATGCCCCTCGTGATTTTATAAACCTCTGTACAGTCACCCCTGAACCTCCTACTTTCCAGCAGGAATATGTCCCAGCCTTTCTAGCCTCTCCTTACAAGTCAAACCCTCCAATCCTAGCAACATCCTGTTAAATCTTTTCTGAACCGTCTCCAATTTAATAATATCAATCCTATATCAGGGTGACTAGAATTGTGCATAGTACTACAAAAGTGGCCCCAACAACGTTGTGTACAACTTCAACATGACATCCCATCTCCTATACTCAATGATCTGAGCGATGAAGGCAAGCATGCTAAACACCTTCTTAACCACCCTGTCTATTTGTGACAAATTTCAAACAATTATGTACCTGAACCCCTACGTCTCTCTCTTCGTTAACACTACCTAGGGCCCTACCATTAACAGTCACTCTGTCATCGGTTAGGGCACTCAGTGGCCAGCTGAATACAGAATGGAAGGTGAAATAAGTTGAACTAAGTCTCTGATTAGTTCACTGCCTGTCTATCCTGTGAACAGTCATTAAAATTCACTAACCTCCACTTCCCAGGTTTAACCATGGCCACAGAAGAATGCACACCCCATGACCTGCTGACCCAAAAAAAAACTGCCTGCTGTCATGAATGGATGTGGAGGAAGACAGGGGGTAGATTCTCCACACCTCCTATATTAGGAGTACAGGCACCACATTGGTCTACCATCATGTGATGTGGTACATTGAATTAAATGTTCTTCTTTTTATTTCGAGTGGAGTTCTTCTTTTAAAGAAATGATTTTACTCATGAAAGTTGTGAATTTAGTGAAAACTTCTTGTGCTTTCCAGCAGTGAAGCCCTGCAAAATGGGTCAAGTCTTCGCATACTCTATATCTTATCAAAATATTCAGCTGCTGAGAGGATTGCGACACAGCGGAGCAGAGGCAGAAGACGTAGGATAGATTTTAAATTCCAGATGTGGAATGGACAAGCAGTGGGTGCAATACCTACCCATTCCTGCTATGTATGTGTTGATCAGGGGGTTCGTGATTGCTGTTCCCTAATAAAGGTAGTCAACAATGTGTGAAAATTTTCTCATAGTCTGTTGGGTTTGTTAAGAAGCGTTTGTCTAGATATGATACATTAGTTAATTAGGTAAAGAAAGTATGCAACCATGACAAGTTTAGATGGTTCAATGAAACCAGAGGACAAACCAGCTGTTGGTGTGATATGTGTTGGTCTCAATAACGTTGTGAAGGCAGCTTCCTGCTCTGTAGCCGGTGTCAGGGAAGGCTTCCCGGGGTCTTCCTCCTCCTCCTCTTCTAGTCTGCCATCCATTTGGAGCAGACACTCTGTAAACACTGCCCTCTGCCCCTGATCACTTGTTGATTTCTTCTATTTCTAGGGGCAGGTAACTTACACCCTGTCAATCAGTTGCCTGAATCCTTTTGGCTGATGACCACGGGACATCTACTACTGATGTCTGATCCCTGAAAACTGGACCACCTACATTTGATGTTTAGTTTTCATTCCTTCCATGAGCAAACCCCACCTTATTTTCAACAACATTGCAGTCTTAAATCTTCTGTTTACCATGGTAGGAGGTTAGTCACTACTGTGACATATTTAAATGAGGGCTCATGCTACACGAGAAATACTATACATGGAATTCTAAAAGCACACAGTTTTAAAGGGGACCCCAATTTTCAACAGAGGGCCGCAGTCTGACTTGAGGGCCAGTCCTTATAATTCCATGCTGACCTTGAACTCCTAACTGAACATTCTTCATAATCAGCGCAATATTATCTGGTTGGCAGGCAGCTATATCTGGAAGATGTGGGGGGAAATGACGTACAACGGGAGCTCGGAGAGATGAGGGCGGGGAACTTCCAGTTGGCAGTGTCCCACGTTACTGTTTAGAACCCTGGGTGAAACACACATTTTTTACTTTGACCGAGAAACACGTGTTTGAAGTTTTTCCACCCTCAGCAATAAACGAGGATGGGACATAAGCAACGTGATTGCATGTGTATTAGTGCCAAAAACAGCCATGAAAATGATGGCTAAGAAAGGAGAGGGAAAGTCCTGAAATATTGAAGATGGTACAAAAGAGAAGAAATTCAAATAAATCCTTCAGAGACTTTATTCGTTCTTGTAAGTGGCCCGTTGATTTATTCCAAGTATCACTTTTTAAAGTAGGAAGAGTATTTATGAGTTCCAGCGTGCATGCTGTCAAACCACCTAGACTGTTCAGACTGACCTGATCATTTGGAGATTAGTTTTGAACTATTGCCAGTACGCTGCATACCTGGGCAGTCGAATCTGTGAGAGGCCACCACTGGTTACTCAACTACTGACCTTTATCAGTGGGGAGGCACCTGGCTTCAACGGTCCGTGTTTCTGCAGAGGATCAGTTCTTGAGGGTTGAGAATTCACCACATGGGAAATTCAAATACACATCTTGGAGATCTTGCACAACACCCAATTGCTGTCTCTTGTTGCACTTGTTCCTTGCTCAGAGAAGAAAACCATTCAAAACTACTGTCCTATTATTTGTAAAGAAGAAAGTGTCCAGTACCGTTGATCAAAACATGTTGTGTGAATTTGTTTTAAAAATGCAAATTTTATTCGCTGCAGGTATTTTGAGTTGCGTGAAGCTTCATTCGAATACAACTCCTCAACATGCTGGAAGCTACGGAATGAGATCACGGAGGTGAAGATACTTTCTATGTAAGTCACTGTTACTTTAAAGGTGGAGACTCTACACCGTGTAACATTGATTTGTTTCTGTACTGTCTATTCTATCAGCCTAACTAATCCATGCCAGAGGTTACTAGCGAGAAGTAACTGGCGTGTGGACATCTGCCTTGTCTGCCACTTCTCGGCTGAATGGCTAAGATCAAGTATAGTCTCTGTTCTTATCAACTTACCTAGAAGGGGAGATACCGTGATTCAGAAGATAGTTCTCCGAGGATGAGTCTGAGCTGTAAACCTTCATCATCAGAAAATCTTAAGATCATCGCTGGATGTGCAGGTTAGGTGGATTGGCCATGGGAAATGCAGGGTTATATGGATAGGGTAGGGGAGTGGATCTGGATGGGATGCTTTCCAGAGGGTCTGTGTGGACTCTATGGGCTGAATGGCCTGCTTCCACATTGTAGGGATTCTATGGCTTCTTTGGATTGTGATTGCAACCAGAACTTGGAGGATCATTGGTTGAGCTGAGGTGCATCTTTATGCTGGCTTCACGTTAAAACCAATTCAGTGTCTAGCCAACCAGAGCTATGGCCTCTGCCAGTGCCAGCGCCCCATGCCAGAGGGTCCGAAATACAGTCAGGGTGATTGTGAAGAAGATGCAGGAAGGATCGCTATTCGACTGGACCTTCTTTGCGAAGAGAGTCCTCCTGGATTGCTGCAGGTTCCAAGCAGCAGATATCTTCTGTCTGCAGGATTTCCCCAGCGGGGGTTTCTTTGACGCGACCTCAGGTGCATGAAGCAATGTGAGCATCTTCTGAAAGTATTTGAGGAGAAAGGAGGTGTGAGCCTCCTCTCCATCTTGTCTGCAGCACATTGTTTGTTTTCCCTTACACAGAGCAGCAGTGTTGTTAGAATTCATTCATACAATCTGCACATCCCAGCAGCAGATTCCCTGACCTTTGTAGGAAGATACATGCAGCTTGAAGGAGGCAGCACCGATGTAGTGGATCCCTTCGGAATCTGGACCAGCCAATGACCAGTCAAAGTGACCTCGAAGGTGGACGCCATGGGAACATCCTCCACCTGCACTCCAACTTCACAATCGGAGGGAGTCGACGCTGCCTGCTGTACTCTGGGCAGCCTAGAGTGTGCTAAACCTACGGAGGCCAGGGCACATAGCAACGGACTGCAAAGTGACCCTTTGTAGGGACTGCAAACTGGAGGGCTACCTGACTAAGGACTGCAAGGAGTCCAAAGGCTACAACCTGTGTGGGGAAGCAGGCCATGTGTACAAGGCCTGTCCAAGATGGAGAGGGCACCACAGAAGCTCAGGTGGCTGGAAATGGCAACGCGAACTGTGGACTCCTAAAGGCCAGTGAGGCGCCACACTCCAGCAACGGAAACGAAGTGTACCGAGAAGGAGGAAAATGCCAGACAGGAGGTACAGCAACCAACCCAATCTCCACCTGAACAGATGGAGTCAATGGAGGAAACGAAGGAGGTGGTGGAGTGGATGCTGGTGAGAAACAACTAAGAAAGGAAAACACCTTGGGCCCACAGTAAAATAGAAAAAGGCAACTGCATGATGGGCGCACCAGCACCACCTCTGACGATGAAGACGTGTGGAGGTATGGTCACCAACAAACAAAAAGGAGTGCAGCACCAAAGGGGAGAAGGAGAGGAGTACCTCCCAACCTGGAAATGTCAGAAGTCACGAGGGGTTTGGTGAAACTCAACCTCCAGCTGTCAGAAACCAAAGGGTAACCAACTCGCCACAGCTCGGGGTAATCAGGAGCAGACCCTCTGTCAGGCTTCGCACCAGACCTTCCTGGCTTTGTACTCCCCCCGATGACACCAGATCAGGGCATCACCTCCAGGGAAGAACAGGACAGCTACGTCAGTGCTGAGAGTGTCCAACAGTTCACACATACCACGGGGATGCAGGGACTCACCCTAATGACAAGACTGGGAAGTGGACTTCCCTTTTTCTGCCACTCAGAATAACTAGCCTGTGGAAGGTCAGTGATGAGCTTATTGACCCCAGAGTTTAAATACCAAGCGGGAAAACACAACAGCACTTGATCGGAGTCTGCACTGATGATGTTACCCAGCAGGGTATTGAAACGTCTGTGAACTAACGCACCAACTCGGTGAGCGAACCAACCACAGCATCCACAACCAGAGCTACAAATCTACTCCAGGACCTTAGATCTTACTATATAGTAGAGCAGACTTTAAGAGCCAAATGGCTTGCTGCAGCTCCTATTTTTGATGAGGAACATGAATTTCACACAAATCTCAACTGCTTTACTTTATTTTTTACACAAGGCTCCAAATAATGAAAGTAGCTCTTTACAAATGAACATGAAATAGTTGTGTGATACTGACTATTTGTTCTGCAGGGTGAAACAGTCTGAACTGTTTGACAGATGGAAGACCCTGCAGCTGTGTAATTGGGAAATGAATGAGACTGCAGCCAATATTTTCAGGTAAGTGAATGAGAAGACAGGAAAGATGAAAATGAGAAGTGAAAGAGAAGGTGGAGCTGAAGAGAAAAAGAGCTGTAGCAATTGAGGAGGAGTTTCAGTAGACATACAAGAGGAGGGAAAGGAGATTGGGGGATAGATGGGAAGAAGTTGGGGGAAACAAAGAGAATTTGACTAAACAAATAGGAAAATAAAGTAAAAGTATAAATGGAAAAGGGTAGGTAAAACATTTGGAGAAGGAAATGTTTGAGATAGTGTTCCATAGAATCTCTACAATGTGGGAACAGGCTCTTCGGCCCAACAAATCCACACTGATCCTCAAGCGTCCCATCCTGACCCATCCCTCTATAACCCACCTAATCTACACATCCCTGAACACAACGGGCAATTTAGCATGGCCAATCCACCTAACCTGCACATCTTTGGACTGTGGGAGGAAACCGGAGCACCTGGAGGAAACCCACACAGAGACGGGGAGAACGTGCAAACTCCACACAGTCGCCCGAGGGTGGAATCAAACTCGGGCCTCTGGCATTGACAGGCAGCAGTGTTAACTACTGAGCCACCATGCTGCCCATGGCTAGTTACAAGGCAGTTTTAAATAAAACATAAAACATAAATACGGGACTGAAAGCAAGGGAGAGAAGAGAGAGAGGGGTGGGGAAAAGGAGAGAGGGGTTGAGTAAAATTAAAAGAGAACAGCAGAAATAGGTAAGAATGGATTGAGAGATAGGGTGAAATAGGCCACCCAGAATAAAATGACTACATATGCTCAAAAGCCCAAATATTGAGACCACTATTTTAGTCTAAAAGTTATGGGGTCAGACTTTACATGGGTAATATATGATGGGTTGACATGATGCTTGATTTGGGCCTGACTGCAATCCAAAAGAGATCATTGCAATAGTATGAAATACTAAATAATTCATATAATTATATATTTAACACTCATTAATTTTCTGACAATACAAAATCTACAATTCATTCATACAATTTAAATAAGTAACGAATTACGTACAATACTTCACGTTGACATTCTTCAAAGTCTTTGGCTTGAATCACTGAACAATTCATCCCCATTGCCTGATTGTTTAACATCATCGTACAGATTCTTTTCGTCTTTATTACAGAATCGTTAATACTAACTTTGGCATCACCATTTTACAAGTAATCACCCTCCGTACCGTTAGATTTGTATGCAATATTCCACACTTGGAAGTAAGCTTTTAACAATATTGAGATCAATTTCATTCCACGCATCTGCGGCCCTTTATCCCAACATTACAAGTAAGGTAATGCTTACATTTCTCCGATACTAATGAATGATATATTTTTGCCTTCCAAGATCTAATTATTCTATATCTTTCAGGTACTGTTCTTGAGTGGTTTATTTACACACAAACCCAAGAACGGAACAATACTAAGAACAACTGCCACGTCAGAATGGATTGACCTTGCATAACTACATGATTGGGATTTGAGCATGACCCAGATGAGCAAACTTTTTGTTTTAATGCATGAGGAAAAGGAAGTCACAAATTCCTCAATTTCTTTGATTCCTCATAACTTTATCCATCCAACCTTTCTCTTGAACATTGATGATGACGCCTTTCTGAAATTACTCTTTTGGAGAGCTTTTCCTTTGAATTTTGTGTCACTTTCACTTAAATATACTGTCTTCACTTCCAATCTGTACCCTCATGGACTGGCATATCCAGCAGTTTACCAGAGACACTGAGGGTGTGTGTGTGAGAGTGTGAGTGAGTGATACGGAAAGGGATTGGTGGTACACAGTGCTGCAAGTTTATCTCTCTCAGGGTGTTTTACCTGATGGAGCAATGTTTATGTTATCTCCCACAATGTAAGAAACCAGGCAGAATATTCTATTGAAGAAACCAACAGACATTTTTCCAGGTAACTATTATGTACAAACATTACATTGCTCAGGCACATAACTGACTGGGCTAATATTAGGCCTTTGGGTACAGCGGAGGAGTATGTTTCCAATACTATGTCATGGTTCAAATAGAGTCATAGAATCAAAGCACAGAAAAAAGCCCTTCAGCCAAATGATCTGAATTAAAATGGAGTATGAGATCTTTTAAACCCTCAGGTCATGTGCAATGGTATCATAAATATATCTCTTAAAAGACTACTGATTGTGAGATATAACACAACATCCCCCTTTTTGCCGACGGTAAAAACTTATCCCGAACACACACATTTGATTGTATATGGTAAATATGTGGTAAATTTGTTAATTATTCAAACAGGTACAACAAAGTTGCCAGATTAACATTTCAAATTTCAATAGAGGTTTGATCATTTGTCCTGATTTGATGATTGACCATTTGGAGAGGGATGCATTGTTCCTTGTTGCAGTTGTTTGACAACTTGGTTGTCTTGCTGCTGGTTTCTGTCACTGAACATCACAGGGCCATCATCTTTGGAATGTTATTCCTCCCTCCCTTTGTGCATGCTTTGTGTTCTGTGTGTTGATCTGAGTTGGCTTCTGTTCCTTCACAATTGGCATCATGATTAGTAATGAATTGGTATGATCTGGATGGTTGCATATTTGGGAAACCTCTGTGGTATCCAAGTGTTTATAGCTGAACTTCCAACTCTTACTTTCTGCCTATGCACAGTTTTGGTTGTTCTGTACCTCTTGCTTGTTGTGGATCTCAGTCATTGAAGAAGAATGTCTTGGGAATCATTTGACAGTTGATGAACCAGGTTGTTCACACTTGCTTTCTGAGCGTAAGTTGTGATGGGAATGGTAATTCCTTGTCCATTGGTGCACAAAAATGCAGCAATGTGAAAATTTTGCTTTCATGCTCAATACTTTAATGATCTTGTAGCATGTACCATATATTCAGCTGGACCATTTGAGCGTGACTGATGATGGGTCTCTCCCCACTTAGTATTTGTGATTTTAGATTTGTGCTTTGCCTGTGTACTGCAATCCATTGCTGGATACTTCCTGATCTGGCATGCAGAACATACTGAAAATAGCACTCATCAATGCTTTGTGATTGTGTTGCTAAGATATCAACCAGTTGGCAATTGGAAGAAGTAATTGGTCACAAGAATGTAATCTTTCCCTTGCACTGTGAATAGGAATATTGTGTGGAATATTGTGTGGTTGCAGAGACTCTCTCTGCTGCTGGAGTTAATATGTTTTGGCAGGCTGACATGCATTTATGAGTCACATGAATATCCTGATTCAGTACCTGGCCAGTACATAGATTTATGTGGTAGCTATCTAGTGCATCCAAAGCCCATGTGACCCTGGTATAACATGGACGTGATATCTTGGCATAATGCTTTTGATATTAGGATTTATTTGCCCTTGAAAATGACTTGCTGTCATATACCAAGTTTGTCCCTGTATGACCAGAATGAATAAACTTTCTCAGGTACTTTAATACTGTCAGGCCATGCCTAGGATAATGGCCTTTTGCTCCTCATAGTTGCTCTTCTTTGAGAGTTATCAATTGAAAGTAGCCTTGGCCAATGTGCAATACATCAGCTTTGAATACATCTTCAACTTTGCAGTGTAGAGCGACATGCAGAGGAATATCTTGGTCGTTGCGTGGATTGGAGGCTCTTGAAGAACATGAACTGAGGAAGGGTCACCAGACCCGAAACGTTAACTCTGTTTTCTCCTTCACAGATGCTGCCAGACCTGCTGAGCTTTTCCAGCAACTTTGTTTTTGTTCCTGATTTACAGCATCCGCAGTTCTTTCGGTTTTTATTTTGAAAAGTACAATGGGTCTGATTTCTGAAAAAGGGGGCAAACAAGAAAGATAACGCTTTTGAAGCAGAGCCTCTTTGCTTGTCCATATGGCTCTATTATAACACACCTAGACTTGCTAAACTGTCACCTGATGAAGAGACACAATTGGACACTATTATTGGACACAAAAACGGTAAGTACAGTAAACTTACTGGTGCCTACCACCCAAAACGGGCTTCCTCCACCTCCCAAAACCCCAACCCTACCCAGGACCTTTCCCACAATGTGCCTGGCGTCATTGGCCATGTGGCCACTGTCGGAGCAACAACAGATGACGTCACATCCTCCGCCGCCGGGTACACCACTTCCAGGACAGTGAACGCCATCGACACCGCTGCTGATGCCACTGCCTCCATTTCCGAGGCCAACAGCATAGACACTGAGGATGCACCTACCGTCACTGCTGCTGCTGCCTCCAACCCCGCTCCGCCCACCACCGATGCAAATCCGCCCATCACCGGCACCAACGCAACTCCGCCCACTGCCGACGCCGATGCAACTCCGCCCACAGCTGACGTCGACGTCTCTCCGCCCACCGCCTCCACAGCCATCAGCTCCAGAGGAGACAGCAACACCCAGCCCTGCTGAGTCTTCACCATGCCCCCCAGACCTCCCCTTTATTGAGGACGAACGGTCAGTCCTCAGTAAAGGGCTCACCTTTGTCCCCCTCCACCCACACATCAACGAATACCGGTCACATTTGGACATCGAGCAGTTTTTCCACCGCCTCCGCCTCTGCGCTTACTTCAACCGTGAGCCTAACCCTCCCTCTACTGACCCCTTCTCCCGCCTCCAACACACCCCCTCCTCCTGGACAGCACCCCAAGGCCTCCTACCCTCCCTCGACCTCTTCATCTCCAACTGCTGTTGAGACATCAATCGCCTCAACCTCTCCACCCTTCTCACCCACTCCAACCTCTCCCCCGCAGAACGTGCAGCCCTCCGCTCCCTCCGCTCCAATCCCAACCTCACCATAAAACCCGCGGACAAGGGAGGCACAGTTGTAGTATGGCGCACTGACCTCTACATCGCCGAGGCCAGACGCCAACTCTCCGACACCACCTCCTACCGCCCCCTTGATCATGACCCCACCCCCGACCACAAAACCATTATCTCCCAAACCGTCCACAACCTCATCACCTCAGGTGACCTTCCACCCACAGCCTCCAACCTCATTGTTCCCCAACCCCGCACTGCCCACTTCTATCTCCTTCCCAAAATCCACAAACCTGACTGCCTTGGTCGACCCATTGTCTCCGCCTGCTCCTGCCCCACCGATCTTATCTCCACCTATCTGGACTCCATTTTCTCCCCCTTAGTCCAGGAACTCCCTACCTACATCCATGACACCACCCACGCCCTCCACCTCCTCCAGAACTTCCAATTCCCCAGTCCCTAACACCTCATCTTTACCATGGACGTCCAGTCCCTATACACCTGCATTCCCCATACAGATGGCCTAAAGGCCCTCCGCTTCTTCCTGTCCCGCAGGCTCGACCAGTCCCCCTCCACTGACACCCTCATCGGCTTAGCCGAACTCGTCCTCACCCTCAACAACTTCTTTCAATTCCTCCCACTTCCTACAGACAAAGCGGGTAGCCATAGGTACCCGCATGGGCCCAAGCTATGCCTGCCTCTTTGTAGGTTACGTGGAACAATCCCTCTTCCGTACCTACACTGGCCCTAAACCCCACCTCTTCCTCCGTTACATTGATGACTGTATCGGCGCCGCCTCATGCTCCCACGAGGAGCTCGAACAGTTCATCCACTTCACCAACACCTTCCACCCCAACCTTAAGTTCACCTGGACCATCTCTAATACCTCTCTCTACTTCCTGGACCCCTCTGTCTCCATCTCCGGCAACCACCTAGAAGCCGATATCCATTTCGCCCACCGACTCCCACAGCTACCTAGAATACAGCTCCTCCCACCCACCTTCCTGCAAAAATGCCATTCCCTATTCCCAATTCCTTTGCCTCCGCCGCATCTGCTCCCAGGATGAGGCATTCCACTCCCGTACATCTCAGATGTCCTCGTTTTTCAAGGACCGCAACTTCCACCCCCCCAGTGGTTGAGAGCGTCCTCGACCATGTCTCCCGCATTTCCCGCAACTCATCCCTCACACCCCCTCCCCGCAGTAACAACCAAAACAGAATCCCCCTTGTTCTCACGTACCACCCCACCAACCTCCGGATCCAACGCATCATCCTCTGACATTTCTGCCATCTGCAATCCGACCCCACCACCAATGACATCTTTCCCTCCCCACCCCTGTCTGCTTTCCGGAGGGATCACTCTCTCCGTGACTCCCTTGTCCGCTCCACACTCCCCTCCAGCTCCACCACACCCGGCACTTTTTCCTGCAACCGCAGGAAGTGCTACACCTACCCCCATACCTCCTCCCTCACCCCCATCCCAGGCCCCAAGAAGACTTTCCACATCAAGCAGATGTTCACCTGCACCTCTGCTAATGTGGATCCGCTGTTCCCGTTGTGGCCTCCTCTACATCGGGGAAACCAAGCGGAGGCTTGGGGACCGCTTTGCAGAACACCTACGCTCGGTTCGCACTAAACAACTACACCTCCCAGTCGTGAACCATTTCAACTCCCCCTTCCATTCCTCAGACGACATGTCCATCCTGGGCCTCCTGCAGTGCCACAACGATGCCACCCGAAGGTTGCAGGAACAGCAACTCATATTCTGCTTGGGAACCCTGCAGCCCAATGGTATCAATGTGGACTTCACAAGCTTCAAAATCTCCCCTCCCCCTACCACATCCC